TTTACTTTGAGTTTCTTATAAAAATGAGTCATGCTTCTCAGTCAGGGAGACAGATTTGAGCTAGGCTCCTGTCCCTTGCTTAGCCAGTCACACAATAATAAAGGTTTTTTTTTTTTTCACAAAAGCCAGCGCCACAGGGATTGGCTTTCTGTGTGTATCGGGCAGCAGGCCCATCGCTTGGTAACACAGCTGTGAGCTCCTTCAGGGCGCCTCATTTTCTGAGCCAAGGTCATGGTCTTCTGGCTGGGCCAGACTACAGTTCCAGGGCCTGCCCATTTCTACCCACCACGTGGCTTCTCCAACAGCCGTCTCTGCTCTGGAGCTCCCTGTTGGGCCAACAGAGATGTTAGGTCTGCATACAAACTGAGGGCTCCCTCTGTCCAAACCCCTTCTCCTTTCCCAGCTGATATTCCCAATAAACTCTTTTCATACTCATAACTCTGTTTCAGCATCTGCTTCCTGGAACACTGGGAGACTCAACTGACACAATTGTCAGTATTGGCCATGTGTGTAGTTAGTGGCAGAACTGGAACCCAGGCCTTTTGCATCTGAGGCCACAGTACTTGTTGCCCCTTTGGCTGCCCCTTAAAGATAAAGGTTGGGGACAAGTCACAGAACTATTAGGTTCAGGGAGGACCACTTAAGATGGAGCCACCAAAGATTCTCAAAATGGCGGCTCCTGCCCTATGGGACTTCCCTGTGAAATAAAAAGAAAAAGGAACTCATAACCGCAACAGAACTCCATGCCGTCGGTCCCCTCTGAAACCCTACTTTATATACTAAGGGAACCAATAATTGCAAACCTAAAAATCACCTATTTAAGGTAAGGTCCTAGCAGCTCCCATTGGATGGTTTAACTTTCACCTCATTAGCTGAAGCCCCAGCCAATGGGAACAACACGACTCACCACAAGAAGAAATATAAGCCCAGTTCCTGGGGGGGAGGTGGGCCAGGTCCTGTACCTGTGCCTCCACCGCCTTGGTTGCCAGTGCCAATAAACTCCGTCTAGCCTGGTTTCTTGTCCTGGTCCCAATTCTTTTCGAACTTTTCAAGAACAACAAATCCAATGCATAGTCTATATGCTCTTGGGATTAGGGGCTCAGGCTTTGGATTCTGATCAGTTGTGGTACTATGGGCAGGTTACTTAACCTCATAGAATCTCTAGCATCACAGGATTATAAGAACTTAGTGATGGAGAGTGTGTGAAGTTCTTGGCACAGCTGGG